GACTCTCCTCGTGGAGCACTCTGGGACTCTCCCTCGACTCTCCTAGACCAATGCACTCTAGTCTAGATAAACCGCCTCGACCAGCGCACCCAGTGACTCTCCTACGACGCCGCCCTCGACTAGCCTCGACCCGCGCTCTCTGTGACTCTCCTTGATCGGAGCACTCTGCGACTCTCCTCGCGACTCTCCTCGGCCGATTCACTTTTAGCCTAGATAAACGCCCACAACACACCGCACCACAAATGCTGCAGTGACATCAGAGTAACGCGTAACGCTTACTACCAAACGCTATTGAGCACCGGGAAAAGAAGAGTGGGGGCGGGTGGAGGCGGGAGGGAGCGAGAGCTGTGAAATCTCTTATCAAACCACGGGATGAAAAGGAAGAGGAGGGGGAGAGGGGAGAGTAGCGCAGCAGGGGTTGAGGATGCATTAGGCCCTTGTATCTTATCTGTAGCTTCATGGGAGCCGTGGAGTCGCAGCCTCCAACCACACGGTCGTATCGGGAATGGGAAGGAGGATTGCGGGGAGAGGGGGAGAGGGGGAGAGGTGAGGGCAGGGCGCACTTGCACGACATACAGGCCCTCCCTCACAAAGTAGACAATGTTCTCACAATGGCACCGACACGGCATATCGCCAGCAGACGATGACAAAGTTTAATAACAATATTATAAATATAAATGTAAGTGCGAAACCTTGTTGAAGTTGAACAGACCCTAACGTGAAAGGGGGATGTTGGCTTGATGTCGCCCCGATAGTTTCGCTCGCGCGCCACGCGATGCCACGCCACGCAACGTGACGGACGCGCACGCCAGAGAGAGAGAGAGAGAAACGTCGATGGACGCGGTGACATAGCGATGTGCCCCGATACAAAACCGTACCGAATATATAACGTCCCCTTCTATAAAGTTCAAGGTCACGGCGCTGTGGTGAGCGTGAGGTCACATCTTTTGGACCGAGCGTGCTGAAAATTTCCCGAAATGTGTTCTCTGCAGCGAACGATTTATTCGCAGGTGGTCCCTTTGGCAAGTCAGTATCCTTCCGACAGTCCGAGATGGGGGTAGTTTTCAGCCTAGGTCCAAAGTCCAAAGCTAGGGCACCGGACTGCACTAAGCATAAATTCATTTGCCTTTACATGCTGCAAAATTTGAATCATTTCGATCCGTTGTTTGGTTTGTAAAAATCTGTCAGTGTGAGCGCTTGCCTTGCTGCGCGGCGCGCGGCGCCTGTCGTGACGCCCGTGGGCCGCGAGCTTGGCATGCCTGCCGGCTGGGTTGCCTACGCTGGAGGTACAGTACAATACCTCGCGTGCAAGGCGTTTTCGTTGACTCCTGCCCTGCGACAGAGAGGCGGCCGCTGAGTAGTACATCAGGAGGTGGCCACTGCGGGGCGCACTGCTCGTTCAAATGGAAAATTATTAGCCTTTTGAATTGATTTTGCATTTCCGGAAAGCTTGTGACGTTCTGTGCCCTGTTTTCTTCCTGACCGTCTTTCTACTAAAATTTACCTCATTGCATGTGGCAGGTGGAAGCTACAGGAAGCGAGACCGGAGATTTGCGCGGCAAGAAAAAAATTGCACCGCCCTGAAGTTTCGGCCATATAAGTTTGCAAAGTAGATGATTCGTCGATGATCCGAAGTTCATGAATAGGTGAGGAATTCATCACCGTCAAAGCTCGTGCGAGTTCGTTTTTAAGCCGAGCCCCATATACCAGGTGGCCGATTCACGCCGAGCACTTTCGTAGTTATGCTGTACCGCATGCACGCGTGCGGGTGGGTTGCCTACTCGCACGGAGCCCCAAGGAGCCGTGGGTGGGCAGCGGGCATATAGGCAAACCCGCCCGCACTCGTGCATGCGGTACAGTATAACTACGAAAGTGCGCGGCTCGCATCAGCCACCTGGTATTCCTGCCCTGCTCCGAGAGCAGCGCGCGGGTGGCGGGTACGTGTCACCCGTCGCTCGGCCCGCAGCCGGTTACCGGTAGCTACCCGGTCGACACGCCACCGCGGCCGAACTGTACCCACCACCACCACCACCAGCAGCAGCAGCAGCAGCAGCAGCAAGGCCTTGAGGAGGGCGGCGGAGGGCTGATCGACCCGGGCCGAGCCGACCCGCCGCGAGTGCCTCGCCGCCGCCGCCGCCGCCGGCCCCGGTGTTGCGTGACCGGGACGGGGTAGTCGGCAATTACCATCTCCGAGCCCAAAATGTTCCACCAGGCAGGCCGCGGCGGGCGGAACAAAGCAGACCGAATAACGTTGCATGCACACAGATAAACCCGCTGCAAGGGAGGCCGGCGAGAGGGGAAGGCCAGGCCGGCGCCGCGGGATCGAACCCCTCCGCGCGGCGGCGGCACTCAGCGGCAGCTCGCGACTCCCCCGCGGCCGCCGGCGGCATGCCTCAAAGAGCACTCCACCATAAATGAGGTATTTTATCGGAATAAAGAAGATCAGGAAGGAGATAGACCATCACAAGCCTTAAATTGTTTTTCAGAAATCGTGTGCAAAAACAATTGAAAAACAGACAATTGCCGAAAAATAATCGAAGCCTTGAGATGTTCTGGCATGTTCTGCCTGATTCTTCTTCATTCCAGTAAAATACCTCATTCAAGCCTGTACACCCATTATTTTATGGGGGTTTCCCACTTGTTTTTCTTGATTTCCCTCCAGTTTTTCTTGACTTTTCTGATTTTTTCTTCTGATTGTTGGGTGGGAATAAGTACTCCTCCGAAAGACTCGGACAGGCGGGGCAGGCACACTGACACTATGGCCGCGCTGCTCTCCGCGAGCGCGAAAATAAAGCAAGCCACCGCACAGTGGCGTGGAGGTGGTGAGTTGGATAAGCTGGCAGAGCGTTCGGCGTTTTGTGACCCGCCGATGAACAAAATCCCGCAAAAACGCGCCTGCTAGTGAGATGTGACGACGCCTAGTTTGGCTCCACTGGTGGAGAGTTATAATACTTGGGATGGTTTTTGTTTTCGCGCACCCCGACGTTTTAAGTTTTGGCTGCGGCGGCGCTCCTTCGTTACCAGTAGAAGTGGGCGAGGTTGGCATCCCTTGCGGCGGCTAGCAGACGACGCCGAGCGCCCCTGACACTTCCCTAGTCGTGTCCGGCCGGGCGCGGGCTTCAGCGGGCCGAGGAGGTGGGCCGAGTGACCAGCGCACTGACCACGCGGCAAAGCGGCAAGCGCGCTCGCCTCGCCCCCGCCCCGCCATGCCCCGCACCGCGGCCGCGGTCCCCGGCTCGGCGGGCGCAGCGCCAACTGTCGGCAGGCTGCAGGCCAGGACGTCGAAGTGACAACAAAAAGACAACAAACAATAACCAAACGAAAGAATGCGTGGTCAATTAATTATTTTCACTATATAATTTTTGCAAGTAGTCTTGCCTAAAAATTCTGCAGTGCCACTGCATTTACCGACTGTCGCACAATGGAGATGCAATTTTCGCGTATGATAACGAATTTCACTGTCACGTTCGCCGTCAACACCTGCTCCTGCAGCACCTCTAGGAGTGCACTAGGCCGGCCGTGGCGGTCACCCGCCGACGCCGCGCCCCTGGCGGCGCCCTCTGTCGGCGCCGGGCGCGGGACTCGCGGGGTCGCGGGCGCGGTGCTCGTAGTGCGCGCCGCGGCGGCCAGGGAGCGCCACCGGCCCCGGTGTCCCGCGGCCCGTGGGGTCAGGCGGGACAGCGACGTTTTGAAAAATAACGCCGTTCGCGAAACAAAACTAGGTACTAGATTTTCTCTCCGATCGGAGTTCCTCGTTCCGAAAACTGTGATATTTATTGTATTGAAGTCGACGACGTGCATAGCGTTTATTGCGTCGTATTCCGCGTACTTTCAAATGAAAAGAGATTCGTAAAATATGAGGAAGGGAGGCTACTCGTTCCATTCGGCGAGTGCATAAGTACGAAAACTATGAGAGATTTGTTGTTCTTCTTCTTTTTTTTTAGTCCCGTGCGGTGGGGAATCCCCGCGTCAACGCCCCATGGTCCGCGGCGCCCAGCGCGGCAGAGGAGGTGGCCGCTGCCGTCCGCTCGCGGCACCGCGAGCACCGCGCGCGGCCTCTCACCCGCCGCCCGCCGCCGCCGCGCCCCCTCCTCTCGGGCTCCGCTCACTTCCGCGCCCACCCGCGCCACCCACACCGCCGCCCACACCGCGCCGCCGTCCCGCGCCCGGCTCCCGGCCAGGAGCAGGAGAACGCGAGCAGGACGTTATGGGAAGTGGTGGACTCCGGCTGCAACCGCACACAACGGACCGGCGCCTCACAGTTTAAATAAAAGACTTGCAGCGGTGGCGGTCAGAGCGCCGGGAAGCCCACACAAGCGCAAGCGCGGCCGGACCTTTCGTCGAACGATTGTAACCTCTGGCTGCATCCGCCAAATTGCCCCGTCACGTCACATGGGGAGAACAGGACTAGTGGCTTGCGGTGGTCCCGCGGCCAATTATCATTTGCAGAACTCATTTATCCACTAAGTCTAAGAAAAAAATTAAAAAAATATTTTGAAAATAAAAAAAATGTTGTTGCACCCCACATGCGTTTTATACGGTACCATCATTACTATACGCACTACACACACAGTTGACATCACTTACTTTGGGATCCTAGGCCCTCTTTCCGACCCGACAAGGACGCATTGGTCGTTCGCACACGGTTCCGCAAGGTGAGAAAGTTAGTGAGGATATGACGATGGCGATCTCGCCTTCATTTGCGGGCAGACTACGTAAATCCGTGTCGAGAGGTTTATTTTGATCGCGATCGAGAGCATTGGGAAGGGTATTTGTTTTGACATATCATTCTGGTAGATAAGTGAAATCCGAACCGAATCTTGCCCGCTCATGCTTACTGACGACACGTTATAATCTGTGATAAGACATCTCCAATCAAAATGGACGAGGTATTAAGTCTTGAGATCGGTTCGTCTTCTTACTCTCACACTTGATGCCAACAAGTGTGACATGTCGTTTGCCTCAGTAGCCGACATGGGCCTGGGGCTGCAGTGGTGGCACGACGAGGGGCGAAAGTGCCACACGCCGTCCGTGTCGCCTGAATGTCATGTCACTTCTCTAGGTCGTTTCTATTCGAGTTCATTCAATAATTGCATCCAGGGACGGTGTGGTGGTTGGTGGTGGTGGTGGTTCAGGGACCCCTCCTGACTGGCGGGCCCGGTCGGAGGTCAAAGGCCCCCTCGAGCCTACCGGCTGCGCTGAGGTGACGGCACCGGCACCGCCACCGCCACCGGCACACTCACGGGTCACCGGGACAGTACAGTCCCGCCGAAGCGCGGACTTTCCGGTGCGCCTCGAAGTTCGCGACCTCCCCGCAGTGCCGCGGTGTCCGGCGCACTGCAGTTTGAGTATCCCGCCGGCGCGGCGAGCCTAGGTCCGGCGTCGTTCATCAGCAGGCAAAGGCAAAGGTGCACCACATCCCGGACCAAGCCCGCACTCCCCACCACGAAGCAGGTCCTGCATCCTGGTGCGGTTCGCGCTACTCGATTGTGCCATCAGCAGACGTGTGTGTCCGCGGATGCGTTGACGGCGACGATGGTCTGCCCGGCGGGGCCCGCTGGCCGCTATCCTCGGCCATCGTCGCCCTCCTCCTCCTCCCCCTCCTTCTCCTCCCCCCCATCCGCGATCTGCGCCCGTTTATCCCGTGCACCCCGGCTCTGCGGGCGCACAGTGCACTATCACGCCTCGCTCCGCCCGCGTCGCCGTCGTCGGTGGCAGTCACAGCGCGGAGCTCCCGCTCATCCAAAGGGTTCAACAACCACTGACCCGCTCGTCCAAGGGTTCGGCCATATACTGACCCACTGACCTGTTTGGACGAATATCGGACACGGACACAACCCGCTGTCAAACGACAACTGAGAAAGGTGAGCGCTGCATCCAAAAGTATCTGTTAATTGTCCTCAAAAGAAGAATATAGACCTCCGATCAGAAGGATACCGCGGACGCTTCTAATTTTCAGGGACAAACACTTTATTGTAATCCAAATTTATCATTTTGGCCACGGTAGTCGATATCTATGGATTCTCCGCATCGACTACCGTCGAAAAAATTTCAAATATGTTTGATTACAGTAGTACAAAAGTGGTCGCAATGGAAAGATTTTTTGAAATTCTCGGGGCGACTGTACACGGCTGCTTTGGAGAAAATGTCTATGGTATTTTGAATCACGTTGTTCCATTGAATACTAGAACAAATACATTTTTGATTCAAGAAATAATCATCTTGGTTTAATTACATATTTTTTTTAGTGTGTGTGCGTAAGGACTACGAGGCTAGAACGATAAGAAACTGTCAGAATACACGATAAGTCGATACGCGATTGCCATTTTTTTGTCATCGAGCATAACACTTCGCTGGGGGATTAATTGATGTCAGGATCGGATCAATAGGCATCGCAGTAACTGCTTCAATTTTAACGTCATATCAGTCATAGTGTGGCCGACTGGAGTCGAGGCGCGAACCGTTTTGCCACTGCATATTATATTTGTCCCGCTATAATTAATTGAGAAAACTAAAGTAAAGCCACGGGTATCACTGCTCGTGTGTTATCTTCGCGCGATACGGGACGTGCTGTGCGCACACCGCTAGTAAACAAACCCTCAAAACCCTAAAGTGTGTCAGAGGATCATCGTCGTCCTCCTGTACGCCAGGGAGCTGGCCGTCAACACAGTCAACCACGCGCGCGCGCCAGCCCGGGGCCCCGGGGCCCCAGCCGCCGCAGGGTCGGGCCTGAACACTAAAACGGTTATCGTCGGGGTCGACAACGTCTAGGGCGCGGTTATCTCTAGAGATGTGACAGGCCACATAATTATCATAAAAATAAAATGGCAAAGAAAATATTTACCACAAGTAATACTGTAATAACATGTACAGTACAGATTATTGCGAGGATTATTGTCTATGTTTAAAAAGAAACTGGTGTTATTTCTGGCTGCGTAGCTCCAGCTATTTTTTCACTGCAGCAAAAATTTTGTAGAAAGAAAATAGGTGCACAGGAAATTTATTCATAGCTCTCAAATTTATAAAACATCTCAAAAATCGACTTTGAAAGCAGATGATGCAAATTTGAAAGGAAAGTTCGTGTTCTAGTTCTTTAGTATTTTTTTTATTTTTTTCAATCCGGTGGTCTGGCGGTGTAGAGGAGGGGGGGGGGAGCAGTGATATTATTGGCTAGTATCGAGACATCGGGACACGGGGCAGCGACAGCGGACCGGCGACAAACTCGGCCCCCATTGGACTATTATTTACTTCTGTTTGTGCCTCTCCACTCCTGGTCTCTTGGCTCCTGCAGAATGATACTGGACGTGCGGGACGTGGACGAGCTGCTGGCGGGCTGTCCGGCGCGCCCCGCCGGGACGCGGTGCGTCGGGCTGGAGGTGCAGGGCGAGAGCGCGGCGGGCGAGAACTACGGCAGCACCTTCCTCATCGTCAACGCCCTCTTCCAGGACGGCAAGGGCGTCACGACCAAGGTGCCCGCCGTGTGCAAGCGGCTGCCGCCCACCGAGTACCTGCGCTCCGTCTTCAACGTCAACGTGTCCCACCCCAAGGAGGTAAGGACGAGGGCCTTGAAGCCGCACTGCGTGAGGGTGGGGCCGGCGGCGGTGGCGCTCGGAGCTGTGCGGTCGAGTTTCGCGCTCACGTCACACGTCACCTCGGATACCGCACGGGTCGCGGACACTCGGCCCCTCGGCCGCACAGGAGGGGCTTCCAGGCATTCCGTCCCGTTCCAGGTCAACTTCTACCGGCTGCTGGTGCCCGCGCTGGAGGCGCTACAGGCCGAGCTCCGCGTGCCCGAGGCCGAGCGCATCCGCTGCTTCCCCCGCCTGTTCGGCGCGCGCAACGGTGGCGGCAAGGACCCCGACGTCGTGGACGACGACGCCATCCTGGTGCTCGAGGACCTCTGCGCGGCCGGCTACCGCTCCGGTGACCGCAACACTGGGATGGACCTGGACCACTGCAGGCTGGCGGTTAGTCAGCGAAACATTAATCGATACGAGTAGATCAAAGTTTACTACTCCTCATAGCGTTTTTGTTATGTGACTTGAACGTCAAAGTGAGCTGGGCCGTTCCCGTTTATTTTGCTCGGTTTTGCCGCACAGACCCCGGACAATTTCGTCGCAGATATATACTGCACCGCATGCAGGCGTGTGGACGCGTTGCCTACTCGCGAGGGGCCAGAAGGCGCCGCGCCGTGGCGGGAGAGGGTAGAGGTATGCAAGCCCGCCCGCGCTCGGCTGCATGCGGCGCCCCGTATGGCCTGTTAAAGCATAATTTTGTCATATTTTCGTCATTTATGATATGACAAACCAATCACAACCCAATGACCATGGAAACGCAAAATAACGACGAAAAAAATGACGAAATAATTTCGTGTGAGTCGATTCGGCTTTGTCATTATGACGCGTTTGTTTCATCATTTATTTGTGCTGAAATCGGTCAATTTCACGACAAATTAATGACGAATTAATCTCGTAACAATGACAAGACTTCAAGCGGCACGAAAAAACGATTCCCGCTTCTCGACTAGAGGTGGAATCGAACCACGAACTTCACTCACGCCAGGCGCCAGTCCGGCACTGTATCCACCAGGCCACGGAGGAGACGAGCGGGATGAGGTCGCTCCGAGCAGAGAGGTTCCGCTTGTCGCACCTGTGCTGCTGCCGCCACTCGCCGCTCTAGAACAACGGCTGGTCTGGCGACTTCGCATCTCGCACGTCTCCTCCGTGGCCTGGTGGATACAGTGCCGGCCTGGCGTGAGTGAAGTTCGTGGTTCGATTCCACCTTCAGTCGAGCAGCGGGAATCGTTTTTTCGTGCCGCTTGAAGTCTTTGTCATTGTTTCGAGATTAATTCGTCATTAATTTGTCGTGAAATTGACCGATTTCAGCACAAATAAATGACGAAACAAACGCGTCATAATGACAAAGCCGAATCGACTCACACGAATTTATTTCGTCATTTTTTTCGTCGTTATTTTGCGTTTCCATGGTCATTGGTTTGTGATTGGTTTGTCATATCATAAATGACGAAAATATGACAAAATTATGCTTTAACAGGCCATACGGGTCACAGTGTAACTGCGAAATTGTCCCGGCTGTGGTGCGGAGCCACCCTGTAGTAACAGGAGCTGGCACAGCGAGCGCCTGGCAGGTAGGCAACTGTCGCGCGCACGTGCCCGGCGGGTCAGCCTAGCCAAAGGGGTAATTTTGTTTACCAAGAAGAAACAGTGTACTCTCCAAAACGAATCCTAAAAGAATCAGGAAAAAATCAAATAAAATTCAACTACTAAAATCGGGAAACAATCGGGAAAAGTTTTAAAAGTTCAAAGAAAAAAATCATCAAAATAAGGAAAAACCTGAAAAAAAAAAATTAGCGTTTGCTTGAATAAAAGCGTGAAGTACCCCTCTGCCTCGTCCTCGTACACTGCAAACTTATTTGGTCCTTCCCCCGCCAGCTGCGCGAGCTCGCCCACCTCCACGCGCTGGGCATCGTCATGCGGCGCCTGCGCCCCGAGGTGTTCTCCGGCCGGGCCTTCCAGGCGACGTGCGCCCACTTCATGCACGACAGGATGGACGTGTACAAGGAGGAGACGAGCAACTTCGAGAACAACTCCGTGGAGCTGGTGCTGCAGGAGGTGCCCGAGGTGCTGACCCTGCTGGACGAGGACGCGCTGCGCAAGGGCGTCGCCACGCTCTCGAGCAGGGACACCTCGACCCGGAAGGAGCCCTTCTACACCGTGGTGCACAACGACTTCTGGGTCAACAACATGATGTTCGCGTACGACGACGCGAGCGGCCGGCCCGACCGCCTCAAGATGGTCGACTTCCAGCTCACCGAGATCGGCTCGCCGGTGCGGGACCTGCTCTTCTTCATCTACTCCAGCGCCGACTCGGACGCGCTGGCGCGCGCCGACGACCTGGTGAGGGAGTACCACGCCGAGCTGGAGCGCTACGCCCGACTCCACGGCCTGGACGGCGACGACCTGGGCTGGAGCGCGTTCGAGCGGGAGCTCGAGGCAGAGGCGCCCGACGTGCTGGGCCAGCTCATGCTCATGACGAGCATCATCCGAGCTCAGACCAAGATCGAGAAGACCGACACCAACTCGGACGACGCCTTCGCCAAGGGGCTCGGCGTGAGCGCGTCCGCCAAGACGCGCTACATGGAGATCGTCAGGGACTTCGTGAAGAAGGGCTGGGTCCGCTGAGGAGGCACCAATCGCTGCGATATCGAATCAATGTCGAGACTGATATCAGATTTGAGAAATACGTCGATTTCGGGACCATGTTCAAGATTGATTCGACATTGTTTTGACATCGTTTTGATATCACCGTTCTTCACTAGGGAGTTGGCTTGCGGCCTTACAACTTGTTTCGGGCGATTTGCGCCGACTCGGTCGTGGATTCTTATGGCCAAAATTTCAAATATTGACCAGGCCGTGAAGAGGTTGTTGCTGGAAAGAATTTGAATTTGGCGATCTTTGAGCGACTGTACGAATAACCGCTTAGGATAAAACGTATGAATATCAATTCGATGCCCTTTGCGGATCTGACCGCTGCAACCAATGTTGGTAACTGTCTTTGACAATACATCCGACTTTTGCATTTGTATTTCCATCATGAATTGTAATATTGTTATTGTTATAAAAAATAAAGAAAATTTTAAAAAAAATTAAAATTATTTTCGTCGAAGAGAATACTCCACCTAATTAAATACATTATTCGACGCTGCACCGCAGCATGAATAGCACACTTTTGAAACCTCCCGCCAGAATAGACGGGCAGCCGGGCCGGAAACGGTGGGTCGGCCTGCTACCTCTGGCGCTACCATTTATTGCCGCTAGGCGCGCTGCTGTACTATTTTTGTTATGGGAAGAGGCGAAGAGGTTCAAAATGATAAACTACCAACATCGAATTGACTTTTAAACGACCGTAGCCCTAATGGTTTATGTTACAAGCTGAAACATCATTATCGTTTTTCTGAAAGTTGTTTCACTGTCGTAAAGAGTGAATTTCAGGCTGCATAGGTTTTGATTTGGGAGTTTTAAGTAACATTGCAGGAGAAGGTAACCTGACTTCAAGCACAAATGTGTCACTTGGACGTTTATTCTTGAAGTGTCAATTAATTTTTATGTTTCTTTATTCTAAGTGTAATGCCACGTAAAGCCCGGAGACGTTTTTTTCGTCCACCTAGGAGACGGAAAGGTATAGAGGTTAAAGTAGATAATACTATACCTCCAGTCGAACCTGTGAGTGAAATGGATTGAACAATTAATGTTTGTTATGTTTATTGTGATCTTTTATTTAAATATTCTCTCTTTAGACTGATGTGGAGCCTTCTAAAAATGAGTCAAAAACTGTTGATTGTAACTCTCCACACCCAGAGAACAGATCTGCCTTGAATAAATTGTGTGATACACTTCCAACTCCAAGTAAGTTGCGTACTGCGAACCTGCGTGGCAATCCTCAATGGATGGTTGCAACAAAAGGGCAAGCACATCAATTTCCTGAAAAATCTAATGCTTGCTTACTTTCAGAATCTTTATCAAGGCGTAAACAAGACCTGACTCCTAGAACATTTTTTAAAAATACTGTTTGTGATAAGACCATTAACTCCCCAAGATTAGAAGCGGTACAAAATCTAAATTTGGCCTCAGAAAGAATTTCTGGAAATAATGCTGTTGGTGACCACTCTTATTTCACCCAAAGTTCAGAAACAGTACAAAATCAAAACTTGAGTATAGATCTACCATCAGAAAACAACTCAACCTCCTTGAAATTGTGTGGTTCACAGCCAAATCCAAGTATGTAACATGTCTTGTCAGAAATGGGCAACATCAGAGTAAATTCTTGTAAAAATTAACTTTTTTTTTTTAAATTGCAGAATCTTTATTACGGCACCAACAACAACCATCTCCCAGAGAACTGATTAAAAATACCATTACAGACACCACTACTCTTTCACCATGTTTGGAACAAAGTAAAAATTTTACTGCAGAAAGATTTGATGTAAGAGATGCCTCAGGATGTGCAGAGATTGCAGTGTCTGAGGTTTTTGCAGCTGTGCAGGCGATACCAGAAGAAGAAAGAATTTCGGATTCCCAGTCAATAATAACTGCACAACTTGATGAGACTCATACTCCTGTCAATGTCTTGACTGTAAGTAGAACAAACTTAAATCATAAATGAGAGTTTGGAATACAGTCTACAGCCAGTCTTACTTTTACAGATTGTACCTGAAACTAGTGTTATTCATAATTTAAAAAATGTAGTAGCTGAAGAAAATCAGAACTGTCATTTGAAAATACATCCTTTAGAAAACATTCTATTGGAAATCAGGACTGGGTCAGAGTTTCCTCACAACCCCTCTCGTGTAGAAGTGGTTGATAGAGCTACTTCCCCTATTAGAGTAAGTATTGAACAGTAATGAAACATTTAAGGTTTTGTATCTTCAAAAAGTTGTAAGGTAGTAGAAATAATAACCAATCATACTTTTCAATAGGAACCTTGGGAACTGAATCCCACTCCAACTGCACTCTGGCAGCAAGTACGACACTTTATTCAGTCCTCTATCCACTCACACTGGCAAACACACATTGACAATGACTGTTTTTATATGTTGATGTTGAGCAGGGGACTGAATAAGGTTGTACAGCGCTCCATTGTTGTCAATCAGGATGGAGAGCTCAGTGTTCTAGTTCATGGTAAAATAATACCTACAAACCATGCATTCTGGGAGAAAACTGCTCCATCACTGCCATCTCTCTCTACTGCAACACCATTTAAAATGAGTGCTCTAATATTAATTATCTACAAAGCACTCCGAGATTGGCAGACTTGTATGGGTGTCACAGATGAAAGTCTATGGTGCAACCATGCTAACAGTTTTTTGGAAGAAGGATTTCAAGAGTACAGATTTAAGAAGACTCTGAGATCAACTAACTGTCTATACCTAGTTCCAATAAACTCTATGCGTTGTTCAAAATGTACAATATTGAGATTAGGTCTTAAAAGAAAGTTGAAAATGAAAGGGGATATTCCACTGAACGATAATAAACTTGACAGATGGCTAAGTACACAGAAAGGCAAGAAAGAAAATGCAGAACCTCAAGAAAACTTTGTGAGTTACATTTGTTACTATTATTTTTATTGTTTGGTTACACTAGTTCTCTTACCAGGCACCTTAATTACCAAATTTTGTTCCACATGTACTCAATAGACTGATGTTGAGATGTCCGCCAACGAGTCAGAAACTGATGATTATATTTCGCAGTCATCTCCCAGTAAGTTGCTTATCAAATTTAATTCTTGTGTGTGATGAGCTAAGTAAAATAAGATTGTACAATACTTAATATTCTGTTTCTTTTCCTTTCATGACTTTTAGAATCTCTACTGAATGAAAGTCAAGATGAAACTGTCACTACTGAAAGTAATGCCCCAGAAAGTGATGACTCACCAAATGCCCTGTGGACGCAAGTGAAATATTTGGTCCAGCCCTCTATCCAGTCACACTGGCAGATAAATATTGAGAATGACACTTTTCACATGATAATGTTGAGCAAAAAAAGTAATAAGGTTGTGCAGCGCTCCATTATTGTCAATCTTGATGGAGAACTCAGTGTTCTAGTCCATGATCAGATGATACCACCAAACCATAGTTTCTGGGAGAAAACTCTTGCATCAATGCCATCCTTGTCTACAGCAACACCAAAGGAGATGACTGCTCTAATAGTATTGATATACCGAGAACTCCGGAATTGGCAGACCTGTGTTGGGATCACAGATGAAAAGTACTGGGTGGAGTACCCTAATAGTTTTTTGGAGGAAGGGTTTGAAGAGTACAGATTTGAAAAGACTTTGAGATCAACCAATTGCCTGTATCTTGTCACACGAAAACGTTGTGCTAAATGTTCTATGTTGTTGAATGGTATTACCACTAAAATTCTCAGAGAAAAGAAGCGCAAAGCGCGTCCATTAAGTGAAAATCCTGTGGTGCAGAAAAAGAGAAAGAAGAAAGAAAATACCACACCTCCAGAAGAGTGTGTAATGTAATAATGACCAATACAGCTGAGTTCCAAAAAGAAAGTAAGAATTGGAAACAAATCTCATACATTTATAAATTTTTTCACTTTGTGACAAACCAGCGTAGCTAGTATTTTCAGTATGAAACTTTAAAAAGAATTGTTTTAACTGTATTACCAATATTAATCTAGTGCACTTGTTTCAGAAATGTGATAGCTGGAAAATCTCAAATAGGACAAAGTACACAATTTTTCCCCCTTTCTTGTATCTTTTTTTTACAAGGTGATACTATTAAATAAGTGTATATACATATAAATCCGTGATAATATCTTCTTTCTTTTCCAATTTTTATTGATGCATGTTTTGTATCGATTCCTGTATCTACAGGAGGAAGCCTCATTAGTTAAATAAACTATTGTAAAGTACTTTGAGACTTGGTTTACATAAATTTTAGAACACACTACCTCTCAGTTTTTCTTTCTTTTTCTTTTTCAATTTTTTTTAATTTTTATAAAATACTGTTAAGGTAAAGCGGTCAGGCCCGGACCGTTCTGGGCTGACAGGGCCCGCCTTTGTAGTATACCCCACCGCGCTAATAGCAGCGGCGCCCGCCGCCTCCCCAACTGTAACGCGACGGCCACGACGCGGTGGTCGCGGCGACGTCAACATGACGCCCGCCCGCTCGACGCCGGCGTCAACGCGATGTTGATGTGATGTCGGCGACACGGAAATGACCCGCTCACATTGTAACGAGTCTAGTACATCCACTGCATCGTTCCATCAGTTTTGGGCCGCCCGCTGTCAGTCAAAGCTGCCATCATGTTGTCGCCCGCACTAAAATTTTTGCCTCGCACAGCGGCGCAGCTGGGGACTGCGAGAGACCGTCGCGACCGTTCTTTCTCGTTTTCTGATTCCAAATTCGCACAATTTGCTGTGCGCGCTCCATGGAGGCGCCTGCCGGGTAGGCAACCCCTCCCTCGTGGCACTCAGGAGTCGAGCGCGTGGCCTACCCCTCGGTACGCAGGGGCTCAGAGGGTGTCGTAGAGGCAGCTCTGCTGAGGGGGCTGGACGGGGACTCTTCCACTTCACAAAGGAGGAGGAGGAGGAGGAGATGAACTGAACGCTGAACACCCCTGTCCTCGCCTCTTCCGTCTCCACTCCCCTGGTGCGGAACTCTCCTCTCTTCCCGTTCCGCCCCGTTCACAGCTTGGGCGCCCTGCTGATGGAAATGGGAAATGTTTTGAGTCGGACTCGCTCGCTGTGTGTGTGTGTCCTTGCTCTGGTTGGTCCTGCGAGGCTCTGCTGCGTCCGCGCCGCATGCATGTGTGAGTGTGTGTTTGTATACGTGTGGTTCCCCCCCAGCGCTTTTCCATTACACGGTTTAGCGCCTGCCCATGCCTGCCCATGGCCCGCCCGTGGCCCCCATGGCCCCCCCATGGGAACTCAAGTGAACCGATCGCCCGCGACACAATGGCAAGCCGACAGCCAGGCGGCGCGGCGGCGGCGGCGGGCCAGCGCGGCAGGCCCGAGCGGGGCCAGGGGCGGGGCGGGCGGGGCGACACCGGGGAGGACAGCACACCCGAACGCCATCACGGCGCAGTCGGACGCGACAACTGAGCCGGGCAATGGGCGCCGGCGTGGTGCGGGTTTGCGAGTGCCGCGATCAAGTGCATCTGTATAGTGAGTGCGACCGCCGGTGAGCAGAGTGCTGCGCCTAATGTCAGCCGGACGGCGCCGCCGGTGACCTCGCGCGCCTGACCCGGGCGGGTGCCGCGCGCCGTCGCGCAGGCCACCATGACGATGCTCGCGGTGTTCGGCGCGCTGCGCGGGGTGGTGCGCACCAACGCGCCGGGCGAGGTGCACCTGTCGTCGGTGTGGTCCGCCCTGCACCACCGCCTCACCGCCATCCTGCTGCTGTTCCTCATGCTGCTCGTGTCCGCGCGCCAGTACCTGGGCGAGCCCGTGCAGTGCGTGCAGCAGAAGGACGACGCGGGCGTGCCCGAGAGCGTCATGAACACGTACTGCTTCATCGCCACCACGTACACGGTGGTGCGGCCGAGGCCGGCGGCGGCCGCGCCCGCCGCCTCGCCCTGGGGCCGGACGGGCACCGTCCGCGGCGCCCTGCACCCGGGCCTGCAGGGGCTCGTCCAGAACCTCGGGGACGACCCCGCCCTGGACGACCCCGCGCCGGGGGTGGCCGACGAGCAGGGCGCCTCCATCCGCCGGCACGCGTACTACCAGTGGGTGCCGCTGGTGCTGGGCATGCAGGCCGTGCTGTTCGCCGCGCCCTACATGTTCTGGACGCTGTGGGAGGGCGGTCTGGTGGCCGGCGCGCTGCGCGGCCTCCGTCTGCAGGAGGTGGTCGCCGCCGACAAGCGTCTCGGCCAGGTGCGCCTGCTCGCGAGGTGAGTACACCCCCACTGTCGCCAAACCGTGACAAGTTTAATGAAAATGACGCCATCCAAATGTTCATCAAAAACAACTACTTTCGGTGCCTCACCAAGTGCAAGTGCCTCACTCACAATGACATCCACATCCTCTACGATCCGGCAGGTACTTCCACGGCACTCTCAACAGCCACACGGTGTGGGCTGTGGGCTACTGGGCCGTCGAGGTGCTGAACCTGTGCAACGTGGTGCTCAACGCCCTCGCCCTGGACGCGCTGCTCGGGGGACGGTTCTTCAGCTACGGGATGCAGGTGCTGGCCGCCGCCCCCGCTGCCCCCGCCGCCCCCGCGCACCCGCAGCTGCTGGTGCCCCGCCGCCTGGACCCGTACCCGCACTGGGAGCCGGCCGCGGCGCTGCACCGGCCCGCCGACCCTCTGGACCACCCAGAGGACCCCGCCGACCCCATGGAGGCCGTGTTCCCGAAGCTCACCAAGTGCACCTTCTTCAAGTACGGCCCTTCAGGCTCCATCCAGCGGCACGACGCGCTCTGCGTCATGGCCTTGAACGTCGTCAACGAGAAGGTACCACAACCTTCGTGCTGTCCAGTACCCTTAAATAAGCAAAGCCAGTCCAAAAAAATCAATAGTTACAAAAATTACAGCGAAACTTTTCATTTTCAAAACAATTCTTTGAATGTAATTTATTTTTAATTTTTTACTGAAAACCTTTGCTCTGGACTTCTTAACACTGATTTACTCACTCTCACTGGTGCTCTTCGGCCAGGTGTTCGTGCTGCTCTGGGTCTGGTTCGCCATGCTCGCCGCCGCGTCGCTGCTCATCGTGGTGCGGACCTGCGCGGCCATGGCCGCCTACGCGTGCACCAGGAGGAGCGCGAGCAGGAACAGGTGCGCGCCAGCTGGGCCAGCTGGGGCCAGCTGCAGCCCACCGTGTATGCGTGAGTGTGTTACACTGCTCGCTGACACGACCGTCTTTGCCGCAGGCTGACGCTCTGGCTGTTCGGCCGGCTGCTGGGGCTGCCGCCGCTCTCCGTCGGCGTGTCCGAGACCCTCGCCGGCCACCTCAACGTCGGCGACTGGCTGTTCCTGCTGCTCCTGGCCAAGAACATGCCGCGCGTCGTGTACCGCAGCCTGGCCAACGAGATCGCCATCGTCCTTGGCCCAAACAGGGGGCCGACGGCTCCCCCAAACAAGGGCCCCGCCGAGGACGGAAAGGAGCTCGACCCTCTGGTCCCCCTGGTGGAGGTGACCACATGACGGCTGAGCTGGAAATTTCGATGCGCGGCGCGGCGCTCGGCAGCGCGACCCTGAACCAACTTCCTAGCCCCCTCCCTCCCTCCCTCCCCATTTTCCCCTCCCCTCCCCTCCCACGTCCCCACGTGGAGTTGCCAGACGTCTGCTGCGGACGCCTGTTGCTTTTGTTTTGATTTTGCAGAGTTATTCTTCGAGGCATATTTCACGTCGATGCTGGCCAGCTGGCCTCCCATGGACCGACCGTCGCGTCGGCACCAACACGCGGGTAACTCTTGGCTCTCTAGTCGCAGACTGTTTTGATCTCATATCTGCTGTTGGTGTGAGCTTTTTGCAGAAAGGTGGCGTTACCAAAGTTCAGTGCTAGTACATAACATTAACATTTATTTATAGGACTTGTTCCTCGATGTAAAATATGTACAAATAAAGGGAACTTGTAAAACTAAGTGTCAGTACAAATCACAGTAATTTCTTTCCGTCTACACACTTATCTTAGAAATGGATACAAATACACATAAAACAAAGGGGAGAACAAAAAGAGAACTGTGTGATTTCGTTATGTCCAGAAAGTCTGTGCAAGATACCCCTGATAGTTTAACTTTTCTATCCCTGGGACCAAACACCAATTTTAACCCATCCCTCTGGAATAGAAATACAATAAAAATAAATAAATACATGAACAACCCCCAAATTTCAATTCTCAGTCCCACTTCAAAAAAGAAACAAACAAACAAACAATGAAACTAACATTATTTCCGTAATTACATGTATAATGAAATCTCCTGCATATGACTGCGGACATGGCCAGCTCTCCACTCGGTATTTTTTTAATAACAGTATAAAATGTATCACACTTTGTAAGTCAGTGCTGTCAGATCACAGGGCGCTCTTCTCGCGTCGCCGTTCGATCATCACGCAAGTAACTCTCTAATTTCAGTAACGGTGTCAATTGGCTATTTACATTAAAACAACGTATTACCAAAACCACGGCGTACTCTCAACATTGAGACGTCAAAGTTGCGCCGTTTTGACCCTATTTCGCGTGTTACTCGCGCAATCGGGAACCCCCCGGGCGGCGGCACAACGCTCACCAGCAGCAATCCAAACCACTCGCATTGCTTCCTCTCCGAGGATCGCAAGAAGAGGGACGTGCGTGGGGACCTCGCCGCAGAGGGTGGGGGCGCCTAGCGGACGTACTTGTCGTCCATCGCCTTGGCGTCCATCTTGAGCACCTCCATGTTGAGGCGCGCGTACTCCTCCTGCATGACGGCCTGGGTGCGCTCCAGCACGGCGGGCAGGTCGTCGCGCGTCATGCCCTTCGTGGAGATGGCCGGCAGGATCTTGATGAGCACGGTACCTGGCGAGGGCGGGAAAGTCCGGGTGTTAAGGCGACACGAAGGAGATATATGAACGTCTTCAGATTAAATTAAACAAAGACATTGATCGGATGCCCGACGAAAACTTTTGTAAGCTCTCACAAAGAATGTGAATACGATACTTAAATGATTACGTCTCCCCAATGAAAATTGTCCTTCGTTTCGTCTCTAAGACGCGCACACAAAAATAACACAACCACGAGCTCTACTCACCGGCGTCGTATTTGCACTTGTCGTAGTCCAGGAAGTGGTACCTGGACACGACCACTGGCTGGATGGCCGTCTGCGAGGCGATGGCCACGTGGAAGGCGCCCTTCTTGAAGGGCAGCAGGGTGGTACCGCCGTGCCGCGTGCCCTCGGGGAACAGCAGCAGCCGGGTCTGTGCGAGGAATTTAGGAATTAGAATTTCTATTGACGATTTATACAAACGAAGGCGAGTGTTAGAAAGACAGATCGGTCGTGCATCGGCCGTCGTCAAACCCACACACGAGCATGAAACGTCGACCTACCCTCTCCTTTCGCACCCGGTCTCCCGTCGAGTTGATCGTCTTCTGGGACTTCTCCGGGTTGAGGCGGTCGATGAAGATGGTGCCCCAGAGCCAGGAGGCCAGGCCGAACGGCCACAGCCAGAAGATCTCCCGCTTGGCGATGACGGCGCAGCGCTCCATGACGACCCACAGCTCGGCGAGCACTGCAACACGAGGTCAAGGTCGAGCGAGCTTGCAGGTGAGGGTCTCCTCGTCGTGGGCGCGGGGGCGTCGGCGGCGCTGCCGGAGCGACCGCGGTCGTCCCCCGCCACCGCGCCCGCGGTGCCACACCCCTCTCCCCCCTCCCCCGCCAGTCGGTGCAATATTCAGCGACGCGACAAACCGGTTCCCGCTGCCCTCCAACAGCGGATGCTCTTGTATTTTTCAAAACTTTCGCGGGGCGGAAGAGGGAGCAGAAAAGACGAGGGAGCGGACAGCCGGTGGCCATCCCCCAGTGGGGGTGGGGGTGGGGGGTGAATGCCCCAGAGGGGCTGACCTCACTCCCGGGAGGGCCGCGTCCGGCCTCGCGGGGGCGGACCGGGGGCTGCACCGATAAAGAAGACGATCACGGGGCTGTCAGTCAGCACCATCAGATCGATGTCCAACCCCTCCCCTATCAATCATCATCAAACAATTGTATTGAGTGGATCACGCACGCGAACCTCTCGCCAACAAGAACTTACAACCGTACATGCTCCACGTTCCACTACCAGTTCTCCGCCTCTAAAAATAAAAAGATTAAAATGACAAAAAACTCTGTACCAGAGAAACCGCTGTTCTGTCTGAGATAAAGCAGCCCGTGCCAAAGCAGGGGCGACCAAAGTTCGCGACGGGAGCAGGCGGGGCGGGGCAGGGCGGGGCGGACACACCCAGGACAGAGTCCCCAATCAATAATCGCCTCTTCTTCAATATGAACGGGAGGACTATCGATTACAGGGCAATAGCGGGGCGCGCGGCGCAGCGAGGCGACCGACAACCCGACAACTAACTGCCCCTACCCCTGC